CAATAATTTATGGGCGTGCTAGCTAAATATTATGTTTTATGGACAAAATGTAAGTACTCTATAGTGACAATATTTATTTTTGATGAACATGACTTTGTGTGAATTTTACTAGAAAAAAAAAACTTTTGATTTTTATCACGGTGGAACTTTATTACAATAAACTTAATAACTTGAGTGTTTTAGAAAGAAAACATTATCGCATAACTTAATTACCTTCAGATATAATGACATTTAATGGTGCAAAGAAATTATGAAGGAACTTTATAATGCATTTAACAGAAAATAAATAGTTTCGATTTGAGTAGAAGTTTGAACTGGTTCGTCCTCTTTGAAAATTAAGGGCTATAATATCGAACTCATAAGAATTTAAATAACTTTGTATATTAGCCAGGAATGGCGAGAATTTGTAATTGTTCTAATTAAATAGAATAGGAAATCTTGAAAAAATAGAATTGTCTTAATATATTGGAAAGCTGTTAAAGAAATTTTATGATAGTAATTTGGTCTGTTGAAAAGGACATGGGATGTGTAGAAAAGAAACTTGTGTTTGAAACTAGATTGTTGACGATTACCATTCAATATAATGGAGAGGTTAGTTTGAGAACTGTTGTCATTCAGAAGATAAAACTTCTAACGATTATCATTAGACGTATTGAGAAGTTGTATTTGAAATTTGTTATTCATCAAGAGACATTGATGATTTTAAAGGCAGAACTATTAGATTAGGGATTTTATTTTTCAAGTAGTAGTTATTTTAAGATTTTATGAGAATAAATTAGTGGATAAACAAATAGGTAATTATTTTGGGTTGTCATAAGTAAAGGACTTAGATATTTTAAAGAATTATTTGATTAGGTAAAGGATAGTTATTAGGAATGATTTGGATGTAGTAAAATTAGTTAAATTATAATTTATGAGAAATAGTATGAATAGGGCCTTTCTTATTTAGTAGGGATATTTCAGTGGACCGTAAAATAACAATATAGAACGGATGTGAAGTATTGATTTTACAGAAATAAAGAAGGATGTAAAGTATTGGAAGATATTTGGCTGAATTTTTTTGGGTTTTATGTGAAATAAAATATAATTTAGTACACCTCATTAGTTTGTTTCTCTCTCTTGCAAATAGACCCTCTTCCACAGATTTTAGATAGCAACCCCAAGTATATAAACACCATCAATATACCGCTCGCCATTTACCATCTAACTAATTACATAGTGTACTTGGGGCGTTTTGCTACAGTTCTTTGACTTTGAAAAAGCAGTTGATAGTTGATGCGATACCAACAATATACTTATTATACAAGCTATCTCATTTTGGATTCAGGGGCGATTTATTTCGGGGAATTCCTTACTGGACGTACCTTTCAGGTTAGAACAAGAATGTCACTCTCAGTTGAATACGCGGCGTACCACAAGGCTCAGTCTTGGAAGCCTTGCTTTTCTTGGCATATCTGTGTGACTTATACCAAAAACTGAAGGCCGAATCGTAAGCCTATCCTGCAATCCACTACTATAGTTTACAGACCTTCAGGAAGACCTGTACATCATCAAAGAGTGAACAATGTCTTGGAAAATGCCATTGAATGACCTTAAGTGCACAGTCCTACATATCAACCGGAATAACCCTGAACATGATTACCTCCTCCAACAAATGTCAAAAAAGTTATTTGCCATAAAGACCTAGGAATAGCAATCACATAGAACTCGAAATGGAAACAACATATCACTGAAATGACAAAAAAGCGAATTCACTAATCTATACCTCATTCAAAAATCTATCTAAAGAAATGGTTCTAAAGCTATACAAAACTTTATGTAAGAATAAAGCTCGAATACGCCATACCCATTCCATCTGGAATCCATATTGCATCAAAGACACTGATCGAACTAATTGAGAGAGTACAGCGCCGTATTACAAGAATACCCATTGAACTCTAAAGAGTTACCGCCTACGAGAGCCGCCTTAACCAACTAAACTTTACTACATTAAAAGCCAGAAGAACGAGAGGAAACTTGATTGAAACTTAAAACATACTGAATGGTCACTCTGCATGTGAAATTAACTTCTTCCTCCCATTAACGCCACCAATACCAGAGGACATAACCAGAAACTTAAGAAGGAAATATGTAACTAGTTACTAAGAAGAAACTTCTTGAAAAACAGAGTGGTTTTTCAGTGGAATAGACTAAGTCATGAAAAAACAAGTGCAAAATCAGTAAATCAATTTAAAAAATGTTTGGATCCAGAAATGAGGGGCTGGCACAATACGTTTGTGCATTATGGTGTTTAATTTGTGAACAAACTGCGAAAAACTGAAAGACTCAGTGGTCTCATCAGTTACCCACACCCGCCTACGACTGATATCCATAATAATCATAATAAAGTCTGTTTTTTTTTTAAAGATAATTCCCCAAGTCAAAAATTCAGTAACTATGTTGGCAGCACAAGCCTTTTCTACATAAAAATTTGAAAGCATTGACAATTTTACATTGTATTGCCAACATAATGTCATTTTGACTTTTAACTTAAAAAAAAAACAGACTTTATTAATAATAATATTATTTGTGATGGAAGTAGCTATTTCCCCTTTTTGGGCTTTAGTTAAACCTCACCAGGGGTGCCAAAAGTTTTTACTTTGACTTACTGTAAAAATTAACCATTAGGTGTTGGATCATTTAAGCCTTGTATTGGGTTAGGGGTGCCTTGATTCTCATTTATACAAATAAAACGCTGAAATAGAATAGTTATCAATTTAATTAATAAATGAAAGTAATTCGGTATAGTCAGCAATCAAATCCTATCTAAAAATTCCTAATTGGACGTCCAGTCGAACTACAAATTTTATACTAATCTAAAGTAAGTTTTCTAAAGTAAAGTATCTTGATTTATAAAAAGTAGGGAAATCTGATAATGATAATAATTTCATTTATGGTTGAATGTTCAATGAACGAACACAAATTAACTAATTAAATGCACGAGAGCACAACAGAAATAATTCGTCAACTTCAATCAGTTCACTGCAATCACAAAATGTTTATTGATCCTTGAAAGTTATTTTATTTATTGAGAGTTAACAATTTGAGCACCTTTTCTATATACAAATGTACAAATGTTAATTTCACGAGTGTGAAAACCAAATTTCTGCATCAAACGTTAGAAAATAATTCAATTTATAGTGCATTTCAAGCGAATCACTAATCAGTATTTATTGTTCGACTGTTAGAGAAATTGTAATGGTCTTACTTGCTTAATCCGGTTCATGCAGATAAATCCACAAGGCGATTATTTATTCATTTATCACCACTATTCACACTGGCAGCTAGGGAATTTTCCACTGAGATGAAAAGAAAACACAACGATATACAGGTGCGTTGGAGTTTTTGGGGGTTTTGCCCTGGAGAGCATTCAGATGGCGCGAGGGTGCGAACTCTTCGCTTATTCTAATGTTACTTCCGAATGCGCGTCGACTAGCTTTTCCGGAGCAGGTCACAAAAATCTAGAAAACAATGTGGCGGCTGACCAATCACAGCAGCGAAATAGCTCCACTGACTCATAAGGTAATGAAGAAACCTGTAATTTTACCGGTTCAAAGGGTTGTTGTTGCCGGTTTTACAGGCATCTATTTTTAGAATATTATTTTTATGATAAATAATAGAGAGGAAAATTATATTAAATTAGAAATAACAATTTAAACTTGTTGTGGGTTATTTCCGCAACATTATTGTATCATTGTTATATAGGTATAAATATAGGTACTAAAAATTTAAGCATTTTGCGCCCATACTACTTCTGATTTACTTTCCACTATACGGATTACTTGCCCTTGATTACTTCACTTCCCATCACCCATTTTAATTTTATTTACTTCGTGCATAATAAAATTTAAGCTTCGTGAAGTTAGGTACCTACTTCAAAATAATTTTTGTTAGATTGTATCAACATCGCATTATTTTTTCAAAGTTAATTATTACCTCAAATGCGAAAAAATCATCAACAATCAAAATCGGTAATTTCCGTTTTGAGAAAAAACCGTCTCGTCTAATCAAAAACACTATAATCGTAAATGGTGTATAAAATTCTCATTAAGATTATCCACGACCAATTACGGCGGAGTAAAATTCGAATAAGAAAAAAAGTGGGCTAATCATTAAATCATTCACAGATCGAAAACTCGAGTCCGAGTCCCAAGGTTTGAAGAGAAGAAGATGGAAGATGCGGAATTATAACGGAGCGTGCATATTTTGCGGTCATATTTATGAAGTCTTTCTTCTTTGGGCAAACAATAATTACAAAACATAAAAGTCAGTGAACCTGAGGAGTGGTAATAATTTATACACAAAAACAATTAAATAAGTACATTAGTTTTGTAAAAAGGAAGGGACACCAGTTTTTATTTTGAATTTGGTAACAAGGGGAAGGGGAGAATGGCTAACCCAAATATTGTTCCATTGTGTGATTCAAATAAGCAAGGATATATGCATGTATGTTATTCTAGAGACTTCTGGCTTGCACATCCTGACCAAATGGCAAATATTGGGGAGGACGCTTCCCGATGTAGGTATATTCAAGTTAGCATTTTGTGGATTGGCCTGTGTACAGGTCTCAAAAATCCAAATGCCAAGTGAAAACGACTAAGTAAATGATGGCTTTGTCCCAGCAGGCGTGTGAACAAACTGAGTAACATTAAAATTCTAATTTTAAGCCCTCTCTCGCAATCTCTAATCTCCCATCAGGGGTGATTTTACTGTTTTTATACCCAGTGCAAAATTACATCTAGACTCATCAAGAGTTAATGACGAACTTTGAAAAGTGCCGGCTTCTCGTTTAGCGGAAGTTTAATATCTCGAAATTATTTTACTTAAATCTTGAAATCTGCGGCTTGAACGAATAACGAATCAAGGCAAATTGGAGGTGATGCAATGCAATAATCGTGGGAAAATAATATTAACTTGATATGCCAATTTTAATTATGTTCTATATGATAGGCTATGTGTAATTACATTAAATTACTTGGAATATAATAAATAATATCATGTGTAATGCTAAAGAAGATGTACTTACATATTCGTGGTCGATATCTAGAATTTAAACTGTTGGTGCCATCGTATCTAGGTCTAGGGGGAGGTCTCGGTGGTAGAGCTGGTGGCAATGGTGAAACTTCTATCCTATCTTCGTCCAATTTACGAGTTTGCGGTGTAGGTTCTATACTGGACCTATCATCTGTTTCATTTTCAGCCTGAAATTGAAGACACAAATTAAAAGTATCTGAAATACCTAATCCAATTTTCGTAGAATAAGAAAAAAAAATTTGGTTCTGGTATACTTTCTACAAAAGTACTTATAATAAGACAATGAAAAGAAGAGAACTATGTCTATTATATAAAGAAAGCAGATACATTCTATATTATAAAATTACAAACAGGTATAGTATAATATTCTTACCTTTATATGACATGTACACGAACCCTGTAATTTGGCGGCTTGATTGCCATTCTTTGGTGATGATGGTACGTGGTGGTGACCCAAATGCACGTGACTCGTCTGAAGATGAGGATGAGCCAAGTTGATCACGTGATGCTGATGGTGGGCCGTGGATTTTGCGATGCAATGCGGATGGAGGTTTTCAGTCTTTGGAGATTCAGGTGTTTCGATACACTAGAAAATATAGATTGATAAAATTTTCAACTTGAGACACTTTTATGAATAGAATAGAATACAATTATTGTTACTTACGTCCCTACAACAAGTACAGGTGTGTGTGTGAGTAAGAAGTCCATGGTCACTTGACTCGCTGCATTGATAATGATGATCCATCTTGGATGGATCCTGAGAAAGTGATGACATTATTCAAGTTACTCCAAGTTCTTGCTGGCTACATTCTCTGATGAATAATTTTCCTGGAAAAAAGGTGTAATGATTATTTTTGTCCCAGATATAGCGTGAGAATATACACGGCAGTTTTTGGGCATTCATTGACTATTGAAATCAATAAAAATAAATACCCTGACCAAATTATTATCGCTTCTAAAGTCACGTAAATAAAATATAAATAACACCAAGTTTCAGGTACCACAAAACATCCAAACGATTTTAACCAATCTGGCGTGAAAACCGTTCTTTATATTAACAAAGCATACTCAGCAGGTTATTTCGACTTATTATTACATACAAAAACTACCTGACCAAAAATTCCTTTGTTATTTCTGCCCTAAAAGGACTGAAGATGGTAAAAACTTATACAATTGATGAGGGGCCTTTTTCGTTGTTTCTTTCAGAATTCGGATACCTGAAGGTTTCTTATTAACAATGAAATGATGGATACGTGATCCTAAAGTTTTTCATGCATTTTTGAAATGGATGTCACTAAAGAGAAATAAATGAATGGAAGTTATTTCTGCAATTCTGCAAAGCATACAACTTGTAATGTTGAACTAGTAATCAGAATGTGAAGCATTTAAAATGACATTCGTATTGAAAGGAAGACACTATATTATGCTTTCAATTCTTCAAATCAAAAAACTGTCAGACAATTTGACAAAATTAGATACGTACTTTTAAACATTTGACTATGTATTTGTTGAGTTCACTAATCAAAGTAGATTAAAACAGAAGGTAGTCTTCACATTGCTATTTCTTTGTGTAGGTGTGTAAAGTTAGTAGGAACAGTATCTTAAGTAAGCTTTTTTATCAGTCACGTGGCTATGTGTTATTATGTCTGAACCTTTTTATATTCCGAAGAAATCATTAACCAAACATTACTAGAGGCTTCTATGAGACGAATTTCGTCCTTCATCAGGTGATTTAAAAGGAATAGCTAGGATGTTTGATCAGTAGGTAGGTACTTAAAAAAATTAGGTAAATGTGATTTAACGAAAAATTCAATTAGCGGCCTATGTATAGTTGAGAAGTGAAAGTTAAAAAAATATATTATATTTGAATGTTTTATCGTTTATCAATCTACAAAATTGGGAACAGAGTTCCTCCAGAAATCACTCTGTACAAAAATAACACGTATACACGCCTGGCAAGTAAACATCTTGCATGCGAAATGCGATAGAATGAATTGTCTAGAGAAAGTCTAAAGTTGAATAGAGAACGCAAAAAATTTCCCCTGTTCCACCTCTAGCATTCCCAGCGCTTTTTGCTGGAGGTGGAACAGGGGAAATCGTTTTCGTTCTCTATTTAACTTTAGACTTTTTCTAAACATATCATTATATCGCATTAAAATTGGAATGTTAGATGTTTACTTGCCAGGCGTGTATATGGTAATGAAAAATCTATTCCCAAAGTTGGTACACCCAGAGTTAAATGCGAAGGAAAGAACTTCTCATTTATATGCGCTTATTGCAAAAACTATGACTGTACCGATCTTAAAATATTGTAGAGAAATAATAAATATAAAAGAGGAAGGAGAGGATCAGATGATACTCAAATGTGCTTACATCGACTATTTCTGATTATGATTGTGATAAGCCAGGAGAAATTTAAAGCAACCACCCAACTTGTAAAACAGATTTTAGTTCTAATACTTCCTCAAGTCCAACTTTTTTCACAAATGTTGAGTCTGCTGAATATTATTATCGATGTTCATGTGGTGATTCACAAAATAAACCCATGAATGATGGTTTCAGTAGATATTTGTGGTCTTGCTTGCTTAGAAATAAGCGCAGCCTGGCTGGGTGCTACCCTAGTAAAACTAATCATGAAAGAAATTGTCTATCTTGCTTGTCACATCATTCATTTACCAACTTGGAATTTTTCATCTCACCAGGATTCTATCAGAAATAAAGAATGCCTCCTATGCACATTCCAATGACTAATTGGTCGATACATATCCGTACTCCAAGATTTGACTATGGGGGTAGCATATCTAGTTAATTTGATTATATTAGGCAGAACTTTCCAAACATACCTTTCTTAGTTACGAGGATTGTTTGGTCGTCTTTGAACCTTAGACTTGTTCGAACATAATGGTACACAGTTCAATAATTCGAAAGTTACCATTTTCCTAGAGAAACCTGCTAAAGATTGGAAAGATTATTGGTCTCTAATCCAAACTTGCTATTATTTCCATCTCGTCTTTTTCCTGATGTTCCCAAGGCCTCAACCGCCTTAATCAAGAGGTAAGGTTAATGAAAAAGGAATGAGAAGTTTGTTTTGACACATGAAAATAATGAGTATATTCCTGGAAAGGCCAATAAAATGGCTGGTTAATACTACTAGAAACAACACTGAAATTACCGCAGTTATCGTTGATATGCATAGAGACAAAAAAAACACATCAGAAGAGAGAACTAGAACATCCAGACTATCTTTGTTGTGAATCATAGGATCCAGAATCCGTGGAGCTCAGAAAGTGGTTTGATTATGGTTAATTAATGAGTAATGCATTTCTGTATTGCTAATGTTATAGATATTTTTGGTCGCTCACCTGCAACTGACGCCAGGAAAAAATGAATTCTTATAATAGAAGACACTGCTAGTAGATTACTAGAAATCTTTCCACTTGTACAGTACCTACATGATTCTGATAAAGCCTGTGTCGCGCACAAACTCTGTGTTGCGAGATATTACTTAGATTTGATCATACATCTCAGAGAGTTACAAGTGATAATTATTATGGAGTGCAATTTGTCAGCGAAACTGTGCATTACAACCAATTAATACTCATTATCATGCAGAGTCAAATCATGTAAGGGTAAAATATCATCCATGTCAGCAATGTGAACCATCACTGAAAGTGAAATTTAGATAATACTTAACTTATCATTTCACCACCTACCCAATCAATATTGATAAAACTTCACCATAAAGAAGAGATCTTTATGATCATGTCAACTCGATATAAACTGCTGGACAAATGAAACGGAACAAGCGAATGTTTAGGTTAGCTTTAAACTCCAATATTACGCGAACTTAGGAAGATATCAATGAGCGGTTTGGGAAATTATCTTTTAAATTATGCAAATCGCTCATTGATTTCTTCTTTGATTCGCGTAATATTGGAATCCAAAGTTGAACGAAAAATTCCCTTGTTCCGTTTCATTTGACCAGCAGTTTAGATTAAAACGTTATGTTGACGAGAAAAGATCTAATTTTCTTTTACTGAGAAGGAGATCAGTATTTCAAAATAGACCCCACGGCGAAATGGATCTTATTAGTGACTCCAATCATCCAATCACATATGAGGGGTAACCTGCCTAAATATACCCACGAATAAATTACATATCTGAACACTAACTTCTTATACCTATAGAACATAGAACAAGGAGAAATTCCACATTCTGTTTTGTGTGACCTGTATGACCACGTTAAAGACCAGTGAAAATTGTATTACATGAAGACGATGTAAAACTGAAGATGTCCTGGCAGTTTCCCGCACGAGAACGATCAAATTCCCGATAAATAGAGATATATTGACGATGTGAATTCCACGAATGATTATGTTTGCAAAAATGAGGATGTTGAAGCTTTTCCCAAAGAACGAGAGCCTAAGTATCGGATGAAGGCACTAAATACTCTGGTCTCATAGTTACGATACTCCAAAACTAATTTTGGAATATCCCTGAGGGGGTAAGAAAACTCCAATTCTTAAGTGTGTTCTAAGTTCATTAGGCAGAGTCTGCTGGGCTCACTACCAGAACCCTGATCTTATAACTCTTCTAGAATCTCCAGTATTGTTTGAAAAGGTGACTAATATGATGCTAACTCCAACTATACTGGCTCTCCATCGAGCCCGAATCAAATAATAATTTCAAATCCAGTAATCGAATTTCCTCAACTTGGTCAAAGTGGTTTAATTTATATTTCAAGTCCTTCAACCGACTCACTTCAGCCTGAACCAAAGAGACTTTCCTTCAGATTTAAAAGACGCAGGTATGAAGGTAGGCAAGTAAACATTTTTTTTCTGGCCTGATGGAAAAATTAGTACCCACCGAAGGCAAATAAATCTAACAAAAATGAAGAGGTGCAAGTACAAAACCAATGACATTTTAACAAAATAATATTAGTTCGGATTCACGTTCCTTTTGGTCATTTGTTAATAGTAGAAAAGCCATCCCTCATATTCCCAATAAAATATTTTTGAATGGTAAAGAATTTAGAAATGGTGAAGAAATCTGTTAGGCATTTGCAGAGTACTTTGGCAGTGTAGGTATATTCACATGACCTGGAAAGTAAAGTAATCCTAATGTTTTGCAATGTATAAGCTCTCCAACGATATTGCTTAGTAATATTGAAATTAGTGACGTCTGGGAATCCCTAAAACATCTGAAGACTGGCAAAGCCGTCGGGCCGGATGGTATTCCATCATTTATATTTAAGGTCTTTCAAGAAATAATGTCTCATCCTTTGTTAATCCTGTTTAACCTGAGCCTTCAAACTAACACATTTCCAGATGAATGGAAAAAAGGAAAAGTGTGCTCAATTTTTAAAACAGGAGATAAATCGGATATTTCTTATTTTCGTCCGATTGCCGTGCTGTCAACGCCTGCCAAACTCGGTTTTATGTGGCAAAGGTCTGTAAGCAATTTATTGTCAGATGATGTATGTTGTCTATACGGATTTCGAAAAGGCGTTGGATAGAGTTTCCTTTGTACGGTTTGATACTGATTGAGAAATTCGAAAGGGGTTTGGATTCCACTCCAACTTAATTGATTTTTTAAAAACTTATCTGTATAACCGTCAGCAGAAGGTGTCGATAAAATGCTACAACTCAGATCCCTTTAAGCCAACTTCAGGCTTATCACACACAGGGATCCAATATTGGACCACTGTTGTATTTTTTATACATTAACAGTACCTATAACTAGGGTGGTTAAAAGCTCTTCATGTTTGATGTTTGCAGACGACTTAAAAATGTATTATGA